AAAAAAAAAAACTTGGAGCAGTTCCCCATAAAATGGCTTGAAAGTTGCACAAGAAGTTTGCAGGTCGCTTTTGAAAGTCTCCAGTTTCTACTTTGACTGCACAGTTCAAAAGTGCTCGCAAAATACTAAAATAAGAATCATTTTCAGAGGGAAAGGGAAGGGACGTACACAAAACCAAACGTGGACAATCCACCAATAAAATGTAATCCTTTTGAGTACGAAAATATGTCGTGTATCAACCGATGCCTTTAGCACACTGTTTTTAATCCTGTCCGTGAGTCCGTTGCCTTCAAGTTTCTTGAACAAACGAATATTACAGCTCACACCACCCTTTTTTGAGCGTAAACTAGCTGGCAATCGGAACATCATAAGGAAGCCGGGCAAGGGTTGCGACTGCCTCATTAGATGACTAATTAAGATAAAAATAACCTGATCAGCATGCGCGTGACGGCCAATAATAATTGGTTTTGTCCACGTGCTAACAAGTCGTGGAATGTTTCTGATGAGGATTGGTTCCCGGAAAACCGTCCCGCCAAGCAAATTTCGGATCGTTCCATTCGGTGATTTCCACATTTTTTTGAGTTTCAGTTCTACAGCATCAGTTACTTTTCAGATATATTCATGTTACCGCATTATCTTTGAAAGCAGCACAATCTGCTAAAACTTCGATTTTTCCGAAAAAATTTTTGATTGTTTTTCGAGGAAATTCTATGAATTCTCCTCAGTACTAGTCAATATAACAGCAAATAAAACCTTTAACTCGAGCTTCATCTGGAGTAATTGTTGCGCACTTGATTCCAACGTGATACTTTGATATCGCTTGCGCAGCTTCCTCAGTAACTGCAAACAGAAATCAAGTTTTTCAGACTAATAATGTTGCTTACCATCAAACTAGCCACAGAAACTGGATAAGCAAATGAACTCTCTTATCACCTTTTGTCGCAGATTTTTGTGTTTTTATACGTTTGTACAAATGCAAAAACTCGTAATGACACCAGGCGAACTCGCTACAGCACGTAATGGCGCAAAAACGCATACTTGTACCGTCAAGCCTGATGCGAGCAACAACTGGTTAAATCTTGCGATTAGATGAAATAAGTCAAAATATAACTATTGTAACACTGCTGAGCAAAATTAGCATAAAGCAGGCCAAATATACGAAACATGGAAGTAATGCGGCAAAATTAGTTAAGGAAGTCCATCGACGTGGGAATTATAGACTTAAAATAAAGGGCGAGTGTGTTTTGGATTATCAAGTTACATGCATTATCTTTTAACAACAGATGAACGGACTCAGTACTGGAATCGTGACAAGTAACGATCACAGTAACAACAGCTATGATAATAGTAATGATACACTTGTATCAGCTGCAACAAACTGTCCTGCAAAAATTACCTTTATCACAAGTCATATCTCTGTTTTCAATTCCCAAATCAAAAAAATGAATGTTCAGTTGAACGAATGGGAAGATTAGTTTTTCTTTGATCGATTCCCATATAATTCTGTAAAACAATCAAGCAGCTTAAAATTTTCTCCTTTCAAATTTGGTCAGTTTCCCAATTCAGTGCATTACTCGAAAACTGAAGCCCCTTTTTCCTGCTTTTCTGAAATTTTTATTAGTAAGAAGCAAGCATTCAAAATATTCAGAAACAGAAAGACTGTTAAACTGAAACCTGCATATTTAGCTAAAAAATTAGGCACAAACCGTGTCATTTCGTCGCCCTGCATTTCCACGATATCACCACCTTTGATTTTGCTCATAGTGCTGAAAAAATTTTGCATGTTCCAGAAAGCATTATTATACGAACTACGCCAAATAGCCAAAACAATTTCGATTGAGCGAAAGCGAAACCTACAGCAATTCAAAACTTTGCTTATACTTGGTATGTGGAAGCAGCCGCTTGCGTAAGAGCCTACGCTCCAACGGTTTCTGTTCATTTAAATTTTACGGGAAGGGGAAGAGTTAGGAGAGGCGTCGAGGCTCTAGCATGAACCAGAGTCTCGAAATACAACCTCACGCAGCGCAGAAAACTACGTACTCAATATCGGAATAAAAACCCAGGTTGAAGCGCACGGTGTGACCATGCGTTTTGCGTTAAACTTGAAACAATTGGGTACATTTTAACTTATTCCTTCATTTTTTTTTTTATTTTGGCTCGTCTATATAAGGAAATTCTAATTTAACGCCAGAGGTAAAAAAAAATTATTCCAGTTTTTGAATGTTCCACCTTAACTCTGGCATTTCACAAGCCAGATTCTGTGTTCTGCAGAATTAGTCAGGCCTGCATCAACCCATAAATCCGAATTTCAGGATTCATGAGGCCAAATTTTACAAAGTGCAATAAGTTTGGGGAATTGGCTAATAAGTCTTACACTGCAATCTGAAGGTTAGTTTTCATACCTCGAAGAGGCTTTGAGGGACATTAGCAGGACTTTTCATGGCAATATCAACTCGCACTGCTGAATTTCATAACCAAAAAAATCAAATTTCACCATCCGGGCCGAATT